ATTCTGAGGAGGTGTAGGAGGGGGCCTCAAAGCCAGCTCAAAGCTTCCCTCTCTATCCAAACTCCTGAATGTTGTCCCAAGCCCTTCAGATGATCAGGGTTCTATTGCACTCGCATAAGTGGGCATGTGTGAGACAGTAAAGCACAGGGCCACCCAGAGGATTCAGGGGCCCTGGGGCAAAGCGGGGGAGCTTGTACTCACCGGGCGGCGCTCCGAGCCTGCGGCGGTGGCATTTTGGTGGCGGGGGGCCCTTCAGTGGCTCTGTGTCTTCGGCAGCACTGAAGGACCCACCGCCGAAATGCCGCCGAAGACCTGGAGCGACTGAAGGGTCCCCCGCCGCCGAAATGCCGCCGCCGCAGACTCGGAGCGCCTCCAGGTGAGGAAAGGGATTCTTGGCCAGGGCTCGTGGGGCCCGGGGCAAATTGCCCCACTTGCCCCCTCCCTCCCACCCCGGGTGGCCCTGGTAAAGCAGTTAGTAGTGACTTTAGTAATGTACCAAGGCAAGTCTCAATTTTCCCAGTTTTAGCAGACAGCTCCACTTCTCTTTTTAACATCAGAAGGTCAAATCCACTCGATGGTCTGCACTGTCAGAAGCCAGGCCCTTGGTGGCAGAAAATGGGGGCTGCAAAAGCACAGTGCATCAGTAATCTCCCTTTCATCAGGTAATCTGCAGGCAGCCAGCACAGCTCCAGAAGTGCTGGCTAAGCTTTAGCATCGTGGTTAAGAAAACAGGGGATGCACTGATATTCACTGCAGTCTGCACCTGTGAGTCTCCTGGGGAGCCCTGGCAGAGATTAAAAGCAGCCAGCCTACCCATGGTGGGCACCCCCAGCAGATAGCACTGTGCAAACACCACCTGTCCTCCTGGGGGGAGGCAGGGAATGTAATGGCCCTTACAGGCACAGAGAGGTGCAATTTGAACCTTGGGAACCAGCAGGAATGAATCTGCCCTGAAAGCAAATTGCTCACCTGGAGTCAACAGGATGACATATTAAATAGGACATTGACATAATAACGGGTTATTTTTTGTCTTGGCAGCAATTCACTAAAAGAAAAAGGAAATTAAAAATAAAGAAATAAAAAAGGAATTCTTTGGAGAAAATACACATTGATGATGGTCCATTTTGGATGAGTGTCACCTACTCTGGCTTCATACTTCATATTCCTCACATATCTGATGTGAGAGCAGGCCCTAAGTGAAAACAAAAGCTCCGTGTCACAGTTTCTCTTGCCTCAGGGTACATGGAACCCCTTCAGCCTGGTACCTTTATTTATTTGATGTATTGGCCAATGCCATTGCTGGAAGTATGCTGCTCAAAAATTCTATTCTTTAAATGTGTACATTTAGGAAGTTTTCTTGACGCATGGGGCCAAATGTAGACACTGTCTCTCTCCTTTACATGTGTATGGGAAGAAGTGTCTCAGTGGGACCCATAATTTTTCACCCCACTTCTGGGGGATTAGTAGGGTAAGAGAAGGAACATTTGAGGAAGCAAACAATATCCTTTATTTCAGGGAGTAGTGTCCCTTGTTGTGGTGATCTGTGTCTCGCACTTCAGAGAATGGAAGTTTAGAAATATGACTACCTTGCAAGTGTCAGCATTATTTTGCCAAATTTCATGGAGGGCAGGGGGCGAAAAAGGAAAAAAAAAACGAAAACACAATCTGGTTCAAGTTTTCTTAAAACAGCTCAGGTTCACTCAGTTGTTTCCCTCAACCTGGATTGCCGTTGGAGGTTCTAAAGAAACCTCAAACCAGGCTACATTTGGGTTTTCATTATAAAATCTTTTGCACAGCTCTTGTAATAAACTAGTAGGAAGCTGTGAAGTCATATTGCCTCCTGTTTCATGACAAGAAAAGAGCTCACATAGCCCAGAGCTGCCAGGCATATGGAAGAAATGTTAACTGGCACACTATTAGAATGATGAATCTAAGTTTTATAATGGTTAACAATAATGTCATAGTATAGACTCTTGTATTAGTTAACTCTCAGCTGAAAGGTTAATTAAAATGATGAAAATGAATCATTAATAAAGGTGACAGATACCATATCAATAGCAGAATGTAGGAGTACATAAAAAAACAAACTTGTCTTAGCAGTGAAAGCAAAATATTCAAAACAATTTGCATCATTTCTTACCTGTCAAGACCTGTGCCGAGGATTCTGTTCCCCCAAGAAGAGCTGATGACATGGAAAGGATTGTATAGGGAATTTTAGAAAATGGTGCTTGTCATATAATCAGCTCCTGCTGTGTAAATGTGGAGCTCTGGGGTGAGATCTTGGCAGGTAAGTAAAGGAGGAAGTGAGTTTTATTTTAAAATTGTCATTTTTAAGTCGACCCACAATCTGGGAGCTTAAACATTTTTTATTTTACAAAAGCTTTTCAGTTCACCAAAACATCAGTTAGTGTATTTACTGATGAAAATGTATTCTTTCCTTTTGTTTGTTCACTTGACAGGAATTTCCTAAGATGATTATTTATTTGGCTTGTGATACCAATTGATCAGTTAGGTTTTCATTGCCTGTACATTTCATATTTTAATAATACTTAGGAATTATCTAGAACGTCATCCATAGATCTCAAAGTGCTTTACAAAGCTGGGTAAGCATTATTATCCACATTTTACTGCTGCACAGAAAAGTTAAGTGACTTGCCCAAGGGCACACTATTATTCTATTCTGTATGTTCTTCTACCACTCAAACCGTCATAGAAGCTGAACACCTTCCTGAAGTGCATTAAGCACTGAAGTGCCGTAAGTGACTAACGTCTATTATGTGTGGTTCATCCTCTCCCCAAGGGAGAATTATATGTACACGGTACTGTTATTTTTTTTAAAATGTATACACTGCTATGAGTTTATCCTGGAGAATGCAAGGTCAAAGAAGTGCATCTTGCACTTGGAGTGGAAGGTGGTGAAGTTTGTGATGATCTGTTTGGTGAAATTCGGTATCAGAGTTGGGATTAGAACTCCTGGCTCCTATATTTTGCCCTCTCCACTAGAGGTTTTTGAAGGTGCTATTTTGCTGCCTCCATTGTAATTGGTAAACTAAGCAATTTCTTTTTATAAATGCATCCAATACGTTTATAGGATAGCTGCTACCAGTGAAGATAGTTTAATGTAAAATATACTCAGAGCCGAGTGATCAGTGTTTTTGCATTGCAGTCACATTTCTTCCCTCCACTTTGCTGCCATCTCCTGTCATGGAGAACTCAGTTAGATTTTTTTTGGGGGGGGAGCCTGATCTATCCTCCTGAGAACAGAAAAGCAGTTGCTGGAGAATTTCCCAGGAACATGTGGTCCTGTGTCTGCCTGTTACCTCAGTCGGAAAATTCATTTCACAAGACAAATAATTGAGCTGTAGGGCAAACTAGGGCGCAGGCAGCTGTACTTCATACAGCTTGGAAATATTTTTCTTGTTAAACTTTTTCTCTTTCTTTTCTCAGCGAGGTCACCTGTTTCCAGGAGCCAGGAGGTTAGGAGTGCAGTACAGGCAGCACAGTTAGCCCTTGGTGAAGAGAAGGTCTCACATTGCTTTAAAGCTATATCCTTCCCTTCCCCATTAGATATTTTGAAAGAAATCTTGATTTTTAAATGTTGAATATTCAAAGTAATGGTGTAATTCACTGGTGAGCATGTGTTTCAAGGCCCCCGCTGTGCTGATCCACAGAGGATAAGAGTTGTTATAGCCTCTCATTGCAGCAGCTTGGACCTTTAGCTCAAAATGAAGCCACTGATGCTGTTAGTTCTAGAGGTCCTGAGTTCAATCCCCAGTGTGTTGGCTAAGATGGTGGCTGTCACAATTGCTCTTAGGGCTTTACCTAAAGACCGTTGAAGTCAAGGGGACTATTTACATGCTTAAAATGCATCACATCCTTAAGTATGTTGCAGAGTTTGGACCTAATTAAGGATTTCTTCCACAAATGCACAAAATACAGTAACTTCAAGCCAACATCATTCAATTAAAAAAATGTTCTAAATACTTATTTACATAGTATTGGCCCCTTTTGTAGATGGATTTTTCGTCTTGCCTGGCACCATGTCAGTACACACTCATTTCCTTGAGTGTTTCCCCCCATTTAAAAAAACGCCCCTGAAATAACATTAAAGACAATATTTTTTCAAAGCTCAGGCCCTAAGTGTGCATATGTAATAGCTCATGCAAAATGGGGCATACGCAGACAGGTATTTGCACATGCAAATGTGTGTGATGCTTGTGCAGAGGCATGTATGCATATTTTTGAAGGTAGTACTTAGAGTTCAAAGTTTGAACATTTGGTCTGTCTTAAACTAGCAAAACCAAGTAACTTTCAAGTTGAAATTGATGTTTCTCCTGCAAAACATTTCAGCTTCAACAAAGCAGCATATTTCAACAACAAAAATTTAGTTGAAAACATTCCAGCTACCTCTATGTGGCAGTGGTTATTTAATCTCCTTCTTTTACGTACTTAGATTAACTCCTTATTTTTAACTTCTTATTTTCTCATAGTATCTACAGCATTTAATATTGCTATATTGTAAACAAAAGGGGTTGAGGAAAGTACTTCAATCTCAGGTCTGAATTGCTGTGTTCTTAGTCGTTTAATGCAAACCCTCAATGTTATATTAATTAATATGTAGGGAGTAATGTATTTAATGTCGAGTATCAGACAATTTCCCCCAATCATTTTTATTTATATGTGGAGCCACTTTTTCTGAAATGATCTCTTTTTAAAAACCCTCAATGTTTCACATGTAAAACCTGCATGTGTGTACACAGACCTGGGTAATTAGATGTCTGTTTGAGTACTATGCATATATTTGCATACCAGAATGTAGGTGTTTGCACATGGCCTGGGACTAGGTTAAGATCACTCCTTGTACAGTTAATGTTTAGCCATCTTTGTCTTTGGACCATTTGATGGGTCTTAATCAACTATAGAGAACATTCCGTGCAACCTTAATTAATTCAATTTGTTTACATGAATTTTCTTTCATGCAGTGATTGGTGTTTTCACAGGTACAGTGGGAGTGCATAAACCCCAAGTACAAAGCAAAGAAGAAGAGTTACAAGAATTCAGGCATTGTCATTCTTAACCAGTGCAAGGTACCGGCATTTGAAAGAATACTTTGTCTATTCCTCCTCCCAGTTATTAATAATGTATCTATAAAGATTTTTTGGAAATGGAGCCAGCAAAGAAAATCTAAAGTGTGGAGCTAAAAATTGTAACCTGGGAAGGGCAAAGGGAAGCTATTTGGGTTCTGGCAGTCTGTCCTTTCTTAGGCATATTGTATAAAAAATACAACAAAACCTGTCATCATAAGCTGAAGAAGAAAACAGCCCAACTTGAGTCAGAACCCAGGTTGAGTTTGAGGGGCTGAAAGCTGTAAAAACATATTTTACCTGTAAACTGAGTGCAACGGATATGGAAATCACCAATACTCAGTAAACATGGAATTTTCTAATGACATATTTATAGATTCACTGTTCAAAGTAGAGCATTACTATGGAGAAGCTGGTCATGGCCCCATAAAAAAGTGTTGCACTGAAAGGAGAGGTTCAACCACTTTGTTACACAGGAAGAATATATCATACCCTCCCCAAAATTATGTCTCTTTCTTTTACAGTTTAGAGTGACTTTTCTGAGAACTTACAGTAAATGGGTTAATTACATTGAGTTAAAATTAATTTTAAAGTGGTTCCTTTAAGAAATGCTGCACCCTGTGGTGATTTCCATTACTAGATGGAAATGGTAGAACTATCGGAAATAATGCAGAAAAAGCAGACGTGTTCAATAAATATTTCTGTTACGTATTTGGTGTAGCCCTAACATGTGATGAGATCACTCTTTTTTCCATCCACTAGAATGTAAGGAGGATGTTAACCAGATACTTCTGAAGTTAGACATTTTCAAATCAGCAAGTTCAGATAGTTTGTGTTGAAGAGTTTGAAGAGAGCTAGCTGAGAAGCTCACTGCACTGTAAATGTGATTTTCAATACGTCTTGGAACACTGGGGAAGTTCCAGAAGACTACAGGAAACCTCATGTTGTGCCAGTATTTTAAAAGGGGAAATAGGATAAGCAAGGTAATTATAGGCCTGTCAGTTTGACACTGATCCCATGCAAATATGATGGAGTAGCTGATACATGACTCGATTAATAAAGAATTAAAGGAGGGCAATATAATTAATGACAATCAACATGGTATTATGAAAAATTGATCCTGTCAAACTAAGTTGATACCTTTTTTTGATAAGATAACATGTTTGGTTGATAAAAGTTAATAGTGTTGCTGTCCTTCCATAATGTGTTTAACTTGGTACTGCATTACATTTCGATTAAAAAACTAGAATGAAATAAAATTAATATGGCACACATTAGCTAGATTAAAATCTGTCTAACTGATAGGTCTCAAAATGTAATTTTAATCAGGAGTCATTATCGAGCGGGTGTGTTTCTAGTGGGGTTCCATAGGAATCTGTTCTTGGCCCTTCACTATTTAATATTTTTATCAATAACCTGGAAGAAAACATAAAATCATTGCTGATAAAGTTTGCAGGTGACACAAAAACTGGGGGAGTGGTAAATAATGAAGAGGACAGGTCTCTAACACAGAACGATTTGGGTTGCTTGGTAAACTGAGCACAAGTAAACAATATGCATTTCAGTACATGTATATGTATAATGTACTGTACATGTATACATCTGGGAACAAAGAATGAAGGCCGTACTGAGGACTGGGGACTCTATCCTGCGAAGCAGTGACCCTGAAAAGATTTGAGAGTCGTGGTGGATAATCAGCTGAACATGAGCTCCCAGCATAGGTGCTGGAACTCAGGGTGCTGCCACCGCCCTGCCTTGAAGTGGTTTTCATCATATACAGGGTTTACCGTTTGGCTCAGTGGCTCTCAGCACCCCCACTATAGAAATAGTTTCAGCACCCGTGGCTCCCAGTGTGATGCTGTGGCCAAAAGGGTTAATGCAATCCTTGGTTACTTAAACGGGAATCTTGAGTAGGAGTAGAGAAATTATTTTACTTCTGTATTTGGCACTGGTGACACTGGTGTCCACAATTTAAGAAGGATGTTGAAAAATTGGAGAAGATTCAGAGAAGAGCTACAAGAATTATTAAAGGATTAGAAAACTTGCTGAATAAGTGATAGACTCAAGGAGCTCAATTTATTCAGCTTAACAAAGAGAAGGTTATGGAGTGACTTAATTACAGTCTATAAGTACCTACACAGGGAGCAAATATTTAATAATAGGTTCTTCAGTCTAATGAAGAAGGTATATCACTATCCAATGGCTGTAAATTGAAGCTAGATAAATTCAGACTGGAAAGAAGGAATAAATTCTTAACAGTGAGATGAATTAACCATTGGAAAAAATTACCAAGGGCAGTGTTGGGTTCTACATCACAGACAATTTTTAAAATCAGAATTGAATATTTTTCTAAAAGATCTGCTCTAGGAATTATTTTGGGGAAGTTCTCTGGCCTGTGATATACAGGGAGGTCAGACCAGATGATCACAAGGGTCCCTGATCTTGGAATCCATGAATGTCTGTCACCCCTGCCCCACCCCCCCATCCCCGCCCCTCCTTCCCTCCCCTGCCCGCCCCCGTCCAAATGAACTTAAGAATGAAGTAACTCTGACACTTAAAACTTCCCATACACTAACAAGTCACTGAGATCTTGTGCCAAGGCTATTTTTGAAGAAAATGTTTTAGGATTAATTGTCATTTGTAGCCATTAATCTTCATAACTGAAAGTTTCTCTTTTAGCAGAGGCTGACAGATAATGTTCTTTTTCAGAGAATTCTGTGAAAAACTACCCTCCTTCAACATTTTCTTAACCTTAAGTGTCCTGCATAGTGACACTATTGGGCGGGGGGAGGGAATAAAAAAATCAGTTGAATCTCATCTGGGATTAGACACTAAAATGTTGTAACCATAAACATGTGACTATTACACGGTGTTACTGTTAAGCAGAGTTAAGGTTGTTTGGATGCCCTAAATATCCATACCTTAACATATTGGGATTTCTTTTAAGTTTATCCTTACCACTGAATTCCCTGATTTATGATGTTTGTTTTGGGGATAATTAAAACATTCCTGTAGTGTGTTGTACCCTAAATTGCTCCACCTTAACATAGTTTTTGTCTGGGAACTTTAAGGTAAGTTTGCTGATTGGGGGGACTTTAGAACTTATTTCATTCTACAGTATTTAACAATGTCTTTGTCAAATAATCCATGAAGAATGCATAAAACCAAGGATTTGGGGGAATAAAGGAGTAATAGAAATGGAGCCCCTCAAAAAAGGAAAAATATTACAGTCTTGTAGAGGAACTAGTGTGCAGACAATCAACATTCCCCAATTACTCCTTCCTGTTGTTGTATAATACCAGTAAGCAATCAAATATGCCATACAATGCAATTATGCATCCATACAGCTAAGTTCACCAGGATGACCATCTATGTGAGATGTTTCCCTTCCCATTCTTTCAAAGTCATGTCTCTGAATTCAAAAAAATGCCTGCTCCTCTCTCTTAAATCAATGGCAAAATCCCCATTGACTTCAGGCAGAGGAGTGCTGTTCTGTTTTCTCCTTGATGTGCGTAAATAATTTCGGTGGTTTCAGAATGGTTTGTGATGCTTTCTCATCTTTCTTTGTTCCTCTCTTAACTTAGCTTTAAGTCTCTCCCTCTCTCTCTGATTTCTCCCACGCCATCCCCATCCATGTTTTATTTTTCCTTAAACAAGCTGTTTCAAAGTCTGGATCTTTTAGCAATACACAGTTCATCTGAATGTCTTTGCTTTCTTATTTCCAGATCCACAAGATGCATTCTTTCTTAGATTACATCATGGGGGGATGCCAAATACAGTTTACAGTAAGTGTTTTCCTACTGTAATTTCCTTTACTCTAATGAAAGGAACTCCTTTTAAACACTAAATTCATCACTTTCACAGGAAAAAATGATCTGACCTGCCATTTTGTAAATGTATTAACAAATTGCTAAACTCTTATAAAATATTTTGTGAGTATAAAATAAACTGTGATCACAGTATGATTTTCAAACACGTAACATTTTCATTTTGCATGTTACAGCAATACCACTCAGACCACAGCAACTAAAGTCCATAGTATATATAGGGCCAGTTCCTCAGTTGGTGTAAATCAGTATAGTTCCAGTGACATCGATTGTTCTACGCTGTTGTATGAGAGCTGAAGATCTGGCCTAGAGTCTGTGTCAATAGCTGTGTGTGTGGGTCATCACTGAGAATTTCATATGATCATCCTTGTCCTGCCCAGGCTTAAGTCAGTTCCGATTCAGCATGACCTCCCTGCCAAATTTCTGGTTGAAAAGCTCTTGGGTCTCTATGCTTTCAGTGAAATGGTTGGAAGAATATTTAAATATTGGCAAAACATAATAATATTCACTAATCTGATTCTTAGAAATGGCTCAGTCATTTGTGTTGAAACCCCTTCCACGCACCAAATAAAATAAATAAATAATCAGCATGGCATGGAAAATGTCAGCCCATGTGGCTAAAGTTTGATGAAGTTATAAGGAACTGAAAATAGGGTCTTATAATGGGAAGTTTGGGGTAGTATTAAGTATAAGTGGCGCTAACAGCTTTGCCTGTAATGCATAAATATATGAGGACATAAATGCTAGCTCTGCTGAGGTTGCTCTGGTATTGAAAAAAAAAAAAAGTCAAAATGAAAAACAATCCCTCAGCCAGGAGTGAAAGTAACATAAAAGACTTACCTGTACAGGGCAGGGCCTCGGGCAGAAGGGGCAGGGGCCTCAGCAGAAGGGATGTGGGGCCTCAGATGTAAGGGGCGGGGCTGGGGGTCAGCTTCCCCCAGCCAGCCCATCCGTGCTGCCTGGCCTATATCGGCCTACTTTCACCCCTGCTCTCAGCCAAATATTACATACCCACTACACTCAACCACATCTAATTCTTGGACTTTTCAGGCCTTCCACTTCCAACCCACTATCCTTGTCCCCAGGTACTATTTGTCTAAGCATCCAGTACAATGATTGTCATAATTTTTGCTACATCACCATTTTTAAAAGGGACTCAACCTTGCTCCAATTTGTTCATGTGAATTTTTTTCACCCACTGTCACTTTTGTGCACAAATCATTTAATTTTCTCACACCAAAAATGTCATTTTTTTCACTGTGCAATTCATTCATGTGCAAATGGATTCATCGTGTGTACATTCTATCATTTGCACTGTCAAGTAAGACTATGCCATGCCATTTAGTTTTGGAATTCATGTCAGTGATTTATTTGTAATCAGTGCAAAAACACATGCCTTTTTTAATGATCTAGCATCTTGTAGTTAAGATGTGCAGAGATGTTTGATTCTGCATTAATTACTTAGGCTCCTACGCTCGCACTTGTCAAAGATGGCTTGCTGAAACACTATAGATCTATGAAATCCATAATCCTGTAATCAGAAAGGTGACCGTGTTCTCTGAAATCTTGTATGGAATGTTAATGTCAACATAGAAATGAGTTCCGATAAACCACAGTGATATATTGCCCTCCTCTTTGCTAAGACAGAAGCAAAGTTCACAAACTCGTAGTAAATCATCCAACCCTCTTTTTGTTTTAGGATTAATTATGTTTCTGTTGAGTTCATGCAGTGTACAGATAGTACAATGCAGCTGTGATCTGAAAGGGCATTTGATGGGGGGAGGGAAGCTAAGATGCTAAGCATAGGTTTGGGAACAAAAAGCTATCGTATAGTGTTCCTGCTAATTTAAAGCACTAATGAGAGCTTTTGTAACATCATGCTGTGTGCTCTTGGGATACGTTGTTCATCCATTGTGGTTACATAGTTCATAGTTAGAACAAACATCTTAGAGAACCAAGAGTAAACTTTTTTTGTTGTGTTTTTTAGAATGATTTGTTGAGAAACTTTCTTCTAGGGAATTTTGTCATCAATAGCACAGATTCCACATGGTTACTTCTGTGAGGCTTTTATTGCAGAAGTCTGTATCAGTGATCTGACAGAGTTCCCTGCTAGGTGTGAGAAACAGTCAGTAGAAGTTGGCAAAGTTAATGGGTTTACAGTCAGAAGACATTCTCTTCACTTTAGGAAGTATGGCAGAAAGGATATGTAACACCCATTTTAAGAGCTGCAACTGAAAGAGCGTACAGGACTGCTTCTGGGTCAGACAGGTCAAGACAATAGGACAAGCTGATAATTTGCTGACTGAGCTGGTAGAAGGCTAAGCAGGAAATTATCAGTGCATTAAAAACACTTTTACACGGATTACGGAAATCTTCCTAAGAGTGTATAATCTTTTGCTGTGGGATACCCATATTGAACAGTGGGAGGTGATGGAAGTGCCAACACCTGGGACATTTAAAGATACACTGGACCAAACACAAGCAAATATGTTGTAGGGAAAAAATCCTGCCTTGGCAGGGGGTTAGACTAGCAAATTCCATCCCTAATTTCTGTGATTCTTTCATTTAGAATCCGAAAGCTTCCCCACATGCATGCAGGCTTGGTCTTACCACGCAAGACTGAGTGCCTTAAATTGTCAGTCAAGAACATTAAGAAACTAGAGCTGCTACATGCTGCTGTTTTGGAACCGTTGCAAATATCATTTCGGCTTTCCGTAGAAATCCTCCTCTCAGCAAGAGGCAGGATCAAAACTGAGCCTTGGCAACACAATGCATCAGCATATGAGTGGCATTGTTGTTTCTTGTGGAAGGTTATTAGTAGCGCAAGAAAAGAGAACTCATCACTCATTCCCCCCATATCCCCAGAGGTGCATTTTTTAAAGCTTAAAAGCTTTTAAAGACCTTACTGTGTTCAGAGAAAACAGCTGATGTTATGCTTTGCACATTTGTGGATGGAGCAGTAGTTGTAGTTAATGATGGAAGAGAGAGAGAGTATTCCTCTTCTACTCAGAATACAGTGTATGGAGCATGTGTCTCTTTTGCTGATACCTGCTGAGAAGATTGTACCATGCAGCAAAATCACAAGTTTAATAAAAGCATCATAATAGGAAATGAGGGTATTCACAGTCTGTAAATACACAGGCATTAATCTGTACTACAAGGACAATTTCCAGTAAAGAAACGCGTTTCAATTGGGTTCCTGCCTTCCCACCTCCAAAAACACTGACCACAGGCCTGCCTTGCTCACTAAGCCTGCTGCTCATTTTGACATCCTGCAATCACTTCTGGTTAAAAAACACCACATGACCTTGGCAAACAGTCATTGCAAGAAAAAGGATTTGTCCAATTCCCTCTGGTGCATGTCACTCCAACCTCATTAAGAGGCTCTTTTGGGGATATCAGTGAAAAGGCCAACATCTATAGCATCTTTATAGCACCTATCCCTTCTTATTCTGGTACATGAGAAAAGGTTTGCGTAGGGAGTAGAACAGCAATCATGTTTTTGTAATCTATGCAAAATCTTTAAGTTAATTTTATTTCAGAGAAAATATAAATGTTTTACTAAATAATCATATGCATACATAGGCCAAGATTTTCAAAAGCAGATGCCTTGTGGTCTTTGAAATTCAGCAGTTGAGAGCTGCTAGGTGCTTAGCATTTTTGAAAATCAGACCCCTGATTTAGGTGCCTAAATATGAATCAGACTCCTATTTTTAGACACGTGCTTTTGAAAATATTGGCCCACAGGCCTTGATCTAGCATATTTTGCGAGGAGCACAAGGTTGTTGGGATTCATACAAATGTGAGAGACCATGTATGGACACAGGTAAGATTAAGCAATAGGCATAGACACCATGTAGAGTCTCTACTCCCTTTCATACCTACTTCCTTCCAAGGTATAACAAGCCCTGGTTTTGGGTGGAGAATCTAGAGCTGATTGGGAATTTTCTATCAAAAAGTTTCAACATTTCTGAATATATATTTTTTAAAACTTTCTGTTCTGTGAAAACAAGACCATAAATTCATGTCCTGGTTTGTAAGGGCTCTTCTTTCTTCCCCCACACCATACCTGTTTTCACTTTTTCTTTCAGTGGGTCCGACCTTAAGTTAGCGTAAACCAGGATAGCTCCATTGACGTCAATGGAAGTATTCCAGTTTACATTAGCTGAGAATCTGGCTCAATGTGTACAATGCGAACAGCTGCTCAAAATGTTCTGAGTGTGTCTCCTGCTATTATTCTTGTTGTGCTTATCAACTGGTTGTCAACAGCCCAATCTCCAATAGCTGTGGCACTGAAGATTTTAATAGGATCATTATTCAAAGGTGTGACTAGCTGGCAGCTTGATTCTTGATGGTATAGGTTCAAAATGTTATGCATATAAGGTAAAAAGTGGTGAATTTTCTCTTTATTACCTTAGTTCGCAAGGGGAAATCTGTGGGGAAAAAATCAGGACTAACAAAATCTCTGGCAGGACAGCTGCATAGGTTTACATAGAGAAGTGGGGCTGAAAGGTAATTCTATTTCCCACCTAAATTATATTCATTTCTCCTAATAGATATGTTAGTCATAGAGGTGACTGCAGTTGGTCAAGGCAGCAGAGATGTTCCCAGGCTGATCAAACAAAGGACTGCTTGGTAGCATGACAAAACATATGTTCTTCCAATCAGATATCAAGGGGCTAGTTCTTAAAGATTTAAAGAGGAGGAGATACCGAACATGAAACAGAATCTGCAAACAACATTCTGGACTACAGAGTGGAAACTGAGCATCAGTGGTGTGAGGATTAAAAGTTCTGATTGGCTCTCACAACTTTTAATGACAAAGACTGAGATTTTCAAAGCCATAGATTTGGGTGCCCCAAAGCTATTAAAATTAATGAGAACTGGGCATCAAAAGCTCTTGTCGTCTTTGAAAATCTCTGCCAAAATTTCTTCAAGTTACAAATTCCTCTATTAAAAATCAAGACAGAGGCCAACATTTTCAAAACTAGGTGCCTAAAGTTAGTCCCTGTGACTTGTGCTACCAAATCACTTAGGCCCTTTGAAAATCCACCCTTAGACAAATACCCCAACACAGAATGTGTGCCTGTGATAGAGCTCTTCAGGGGAGCTAAATGTTGCTAAAGGGAAATATCGTCTAGTGGTCTGAGCACAGGACTAGAAGCCAAGACTTTCTGGGTTCTAGTTCCAAGTATGACACAACTCCCTTTGTCACCTTGGGCAAGTCACTTAAAGGTGAATTGCAAAGCAAAACTGAAAACTGAGTTAAGTGCAGATTTCTCTGCTGAATACCACCGCTTACCATGTTTTGTGGGAAAGGGGAAGCAGAAAATACCTTTAACTATAGGGTTGTTAAAAAAATATATTTCCCTCTGTGAAATCCTTTGGTTCCTCTTGGTTCACTGAAGAGATCCCAGAATGCAACATTGCAAATGTCAGAAATGTCATTCCAGCTCATGCTGTCTATGATTGTGATGTCACAGAATGATTCATCTGGAATGTCATTAGCATCCAGGAAGTACAAAGAGAATTTCAAAAAGGAAAAACAGAATTTTTAAACGGTTCACTGTAATTCAGTGCTGGATGCCTCCCGCAACCCACAGTGAGCACATTCAGCATAAAAATCTGTGCTTAACTTGATTTTTGTTTTTGCCTTGTAATCCACCATTAAGCTTTCTGCCATCTGCAAAATGGGGAGGGTTAATTAAGTTAATGATTATGAAATTCTTTGAAGATGAAAAGCACCGTACAAGGGCTAGTTAGACTGTTTTACGATTATAATAATAACAATAAGCAGTAACAAAGAAATGAAGAAAGGAATTTGACCTGGTTTGGAATGTTTTTGTTAAGGGATTTTGACTCTATACAGATTTTATACTAGAGACAGATTTATAGACCGAGAATCACCTGACTGGAAAGAATTTAATTAAACTCAGAGAATTTAGGGCTAATTAATTAGGTAGGTTTATATTAGAATATAATTCCTTAAATGGAAAAATTATGTAATTCATTGTTTTTCCACTTACATAATTTCAGACATATATCATAACATTATCATTTACTTTAGATATACTTATATAATAGTTTTGATTTGATTGAATTTATTTTATAACTTCCTTTCCAGAAAAAAAGCATTCTAATACAGGAAAGAACAGTATTATACTTACGTATACAACCTAAACAGCTGCATTACAGACATGCACATCTCATATAGTTTCTTAGCTAGAAAAAAAAATTGTGATATAGGATGTTCAGTCTAATGATGCTCTTTATGCTGATTTCTATACTGCATGTGACAGTGCTACAAAAGGAATGTTATTGCAGAATTGATTAATTGGTTTCATTTTTGTTTTAAAACTGTGGTATCCAGCAACTGCATATGATAAAGAAATGTGGCAGATCTGCACATACCTATGCACCATAACATCTACATAGAGCAACTGTTTCATTTCTTTTCCAGGTAGCTATAGATTTCACAGCATCAAATGGAGATCCCAGGAACAGCTGCTCTCTGCACTACATCCACCCGTATCAGCCTAATGAGTACTTGAAGGCATTGGTTGCTGTTGGGGAGATTTGCCAAGACTATGACAGGTAAATAACCATGTTTGCTAATAGAACTGTCTCTAGAAGGTGTTTTAACAGTATGGAACCAATGACTTCACGCTGCTGGCTTCAATAATTTAATGTTAGTCACGTACAGGAATCCTTATGGGTAAAAAAAGTTTCAATCTACAAATACACTGACACACAGTTGAGATTCATTCATTTTAAACTAGTGTTTCTGTATATTTAACAGAGAGCATCTGTCTCTAACATATATCATTGGTTTGTACAGAAAATGTCTTCACTGTCTGCTTCTACATGCTGAATTACATATTTGGGAGCGTGGTAATTCTTTTTACACCTGCATGACTGTTTTATATATGCAATGTAGGTATCTTTCCTGATATGCGTGTAAATGTGTATCTGACTACTTGACCCTCTGAGAAAGTTGTGCACCCCTGTTGATTTCAAATAGCTCTCCTGCCTCTGTCAAATAGATTGGCCATTAGTAATCTAAATTACCCAGAAACCCCCTTTAAGTATTCTTTTGTGTGTGTGTGTGTGCAGGGCCGGCTCCAGGCACCAGGCACCCAAGCTGGTGCTTGGGGCGGCACCTGGAGCGGGGCGGCGCGGCGCTCCGGCCGCCGGGGAGC